GTTTTCTTATAGAAAAGCCACATTCGGTTATCTGCTGTGTCCACCAAGGGGAATCAAATCTCTCAGTTTAGCACTGTAAATCTGAATACTTACTGAATAAATCTGAATAAACTAATATACAGCCTTAATTCTGTAGTTTAACAAACACTTTTAATAAAAACCTTAATTTCTGATAGTGTACATTACCTCTACTCACATCAATAGCTATTCTTGTTCAGTGCTGCCCTCTATATACAAAACTATTTTTGCATGCCACAAGCCTTGAGCCCCCATGTACCCCAAGATCAATGTGGTTCAACTGCGACAACCCTCCACCAAAATGAGTATGACATATCCTCCTGACGAATGCAACTCCCTCTATTTGATTCTACCAAACAATCACTTCGAGTTTTGGCAGAAAATGGAAGCACTGGTTTTCAGTGAGGAGGAAAGGTGGGAAGTGTGAAAGGAGGTAAGTACCTATTGGAAATACATTTTCAGTATAGAAAAATTATAACTTCTGATATGGTACATTACCTCTTCTCACATAAATAGCTAGAATTCTACATTGAATAAGTGGAGGGTCTGGTACGAGAGAAAGAAAGAAGCATCTGAAGAACACCCTTAAAGAGTAGATCCTTGCAGTAGAGGATGATATGTGGGAGACCACACCACTTCTGTACCAGGTATGTTCTTTGCCCAGTGTGGAAAGAGGTGTTGCAGATATCGGTAGAAATTGGGAGGAACATATCTAAAAAGGAGAGAACAATGGTTGGATAAGGATTCGAACCATAGGATGTTGGAGTACATCAATGTGGGCGAAAGTAAAAGTATGTGCTTCTAAGTGGCTAGGGTGTGACTGACTATACGCGGCAAGTCAACTGCATCCAAAACCCAGCCACTGGGAACTGACATCCATATGTGGGTAGGAAAGAAGATCAAAGTGTCTTCATCTCAAGTTCAGCAGATGGGAGGGAATCTCTTACCCACCAGATCTCTGAATGGGACACATGATAGCAATGTCATAAATTGTTTGCGCGATCCCAGAACCTGACATCCAGATGATCAGTATAGTAAAGATGTCTCTATAATGTAAATTATCTCACTCAACACCAATCTGACAAGAACCACCCCCAACACAATAACATTCTTGGTATAAAGAACATCATCAAGGGATAGCATAAGAGGAAGAACTGTATTAATCTGCAAGTTCTACCACTGTGACCCACAACACAGGTGGAGGGAACAAGAGTATAAGTGAGGAAACAGAGACACCTATAATACATGTAAGAGGACTTATGTTGATTAGTTTAGCTCTGAATCCAAAACCCAGCTACTGGGAAAACATCCATGTGGGGGGTAGGATGAGAGATCCCAATCAAAGGAGTGAACTGCAATTTTGACTGCTCACTCCAAAGCTGCAACATCCTCATGGATAAACCCGTACAAACATGGAGCATCAGGTTGGAGGACATCTCGTCATCTACACCAACAGAATACCACTGCCCAACTCTCAACTGAATGTTTTATCATTATTTGCATCAGATATAACTATCATATTCAGGAGGGTACCTTCATGGCCCACCACCTCAGCAGATTGGAACTAAAAAGTGGTAAGGACTCCCATACTTCATTGGAAGAAAAAGGGAGGAGGGCCCAGAGGAACATCAACACTGGAAATAGTACAATGGGAGACCACAAAAACCCTATTCTTATATATCTTATCCGCTCTCGATATATCCAATCTAAGGAATGGCAGGGATGGGCAGATATCCCCTTCTGCTTTACCCATGAATTCCATGGGTTAGTAAGTTCCAGAACAGGCTTATGAATGAAGCAAATATATTGTGGGGAAAACCTACGAGCGATCTTGTGGAACACCCCATCTCACCAGTGTGTGTGTTTAGTGGCCATGGAAATTATAATTATTAAGTCATCATGGCTTTACAGCACAGATTTAGCTAGTTTAAGTATAACTGGACAGGCACTACTCACCACAGAGCAGGATCCATAAAGAAAAAAGGAACATGCCCCTGAAAAATTAGAGGTATATATATATATATACAAAAAAGCTATCTTAGCCAGTGACAATCTCACCAAAGAGTGAAGGATGGCAACAGATGGAAGATGGTACCCCAATGAGGAAGAAACAGCTATCCAAAGCAGATAACTGGAGATTTACATATGAGGTGTAGTCCCAGTGCTCGACAGAAGAAGTACCTCCAACATATGATGAGGGTGAGATGCATGTAAAAGGGAATGTGCCTAATCAGAGTGAAGAAACCAGGAATTGATTATGAGGAAAAAGGAGACAAGAAAGAAAAGGCCAATCGATTCAAAAGCCGAATCCAAAGGCAAGGGAGAAAGGAAAAAGTCACAAACAGAGGAGTGGTGCCAGAGGATAAAACAGCAGGAAAGGGAACCAATGGAAAGATGCCTTGAAGGTAAAGAAGCAACCCAGAGCAGGTATGAGACATAGAAGGCCAACCGAATTCAACTGGGATTAAAGATGAGAGATAGAAGGAAACAAAAATGAAGAGAAGGAAGAACATGCCCCATGAGCCACTAAAGTGGAGGGTAGGAAAAATCGATCCAGAACAAAAAGGACAGATTGAGCTGAAGCACCTGAAAAAGACATATCCGTGTCGATAGGGATGGAGCAATCGGAAAGATCTGACACAGAGTGGCAAGGATGAACAAAATCACCTGGGAAAGATAATGAATGGGATGAAAAAATAAATGTATAAATATGTCCAAATCCCGCTTGAATGCATTAACAAACAAGGCAAGTGGATGAGGAACTGGAGACAAAGACATACAGATCAGAAACAATATAGAAAAAAAAAGGGAAAGAACCAAGAAGTGAATTAGGTGGAAGAGATCAATCACAGAACTCTAATCTGCATAGATAATATATGACTAATGGAGGAATGCTTATATGTACGACAGCTAAATGATGGGAAGGTGCCGTACATGAAACATGAATACAAAATGCAATGGCCAAAGAGACAAATGAACAACCAAAAAGGAGAAAAACGAATGTAGCAATACAGATACCCCACATGATGCTAAAGTCACTGGAGTAACGCTCTCCTCCCCCACCCCCAAAAAAAATAGACCGATGGAGGAAAAGAGCCAGAAGATCCCCAAAACAAAGAAGCCATGTTTGTAGTGAAAGAGACAAAAAGGGAAATTGCCCCACCATGGAGGTAAGGAGGAAGATATCTCACAAAAATTCCCAAGAAATAGATAGAATACCTCAAAAAGGAGGTAAACAGTAGCCAATATCAGTAGGAAAGGCAATAGGGGAAGACAAAGGCTGGAAAACTTGGTTAGGGAGAAAGAGATAGGATTAACAGAGTCTGTCCCCCATACATGCAACAGATATTTGAAGTGCAGAGAAGCTAAGTAAACTAAAATAAAATGAAACAAAGCTTGTGGAGGGCAAGGCATTCCAGCACCATCTCTCAAAAGAGAGATAAAAAGATCCAGCATGAACTAAAACTAATGTCTGGAAAAGGAGGGAAAAAAATATATAAAAAGGACTGAGTTGGACTAGCATACTCAGCAGTAGAGGCCTGGGAAGGTCAATTCATAATCAGATGTCAAAATAGATGTTGTCCCAAATGAGTTTGGCAGTTTAAGGAGGAAGGCGAGCAATAGTGGCAGACTCCAGACCCAGGGTTCTCAAAAGAAAAATTAATTGTAAAAAGTATAAAATCTAATTAATTATGAAAATGAAAAAGTCATTATATTGTAAAATTAAGTAAGTGTATATTGAAAATAAAAAATTTTGTAGATTGTATTTGTTGAAGAAACAATATATTTAACCTAATTTACAACTTACCAGTAAGATGAATTACAGGTATGCTTAAAATTACAAACACATGTTAAGCCTAAACTAACGTTGTAGAACAAAAGGATATTACTAAATGTTAATTAAATAATCCTAACCTTACAAGAAGTAGGTACAAATCTAACTAAATGTATGTTATTAAAACTAAATTACTACAAATAATAATATTAATATAAAAATATTCAAAAATCTATAACAGTATAACAGCTTATCCGTCCAAAGTTGGCAGATCCAAATGTGTAGGCCACCAACCTCGAGGCCTGACAAAGGTCGACTCACATTACAATCAATCACTCAATGTATTAAAGCTGACAATTCCTCCATCAACTACCACCTCAAGCCTAGGTAACTGTGTTGGAAGTAAATGAAAATATTTTCGAAGTGGAAACCGAAGCTTCGGTGAAAACCAAAAAAAGTGAAGTAGCAATAAATGTATGTTATCACTTAAAACAGGTAAAGTGAAGTGGAAAAAAAACTAGAAAATGTCTCCACTTCATATGATATTTCAAAAACAAAACAAAACATGGGAAGAGAGCACAAACAAAAAACGTATTAATGATAGCACTGCCAAACGAGAAGTGATAGTTCTGTGGAATCAAATAGAAGGAGTCACATGCATCAGGAAGGTGTGTTGCACTCCTATTAGAGGAGGGTTGTTACATGATCATTTGTTAAACCACGTTGATCTTGGGGTACATGGGAGCTCAAGGTTTATGGCAAGCGAAAAAAAATTTTGCATATAGAGGGCAGCACTGAACAAGAATAGCTATTTATGTGAGTAGAGGTAATGTACACTATCAGAAATTAAGGTTTTTTATTAAAAGTGTTTGTTAAACTACAGAATTAAGGTTGTATATTAGTTTATGACAGAAAGAAGTGTATTTCATCTTAGTAAACTGCAGACATTATTGTATGTGATACACAAGCATTTATAGTTATTTCTTCAGAATATTGAAAAACACAAAAAAAAATTAAATGTAGAAAGTACCTGATGCTCTTGTAAGACTCATAGTATTTATCAAACAGCCACCAGCTAAACAAATTGGGCAATTTAAAGTCAAACAACCAAATCCTGAATGGATCAAGCCTGGAAGACAACTATTTTTCAAAACACTTTAGCACACATGTAAAAATGAATGAATTAAAAAAAGAAAGAAAAACTTACTGAAATAGCATGAGGTACATCTTCTTCTAGCAAAGACTTTAATTCCTCAAGGTCAGATTCAGCCTGAAATAAAAAAAAGGAATACATTTTCAAAAGCAACATAATTTCTTTCAATAAAATAACTAAATCACAAGGTGGATTTATCACCAAAGAACGTTTTTCGTAATTTTGTCTGTATTTGAAAAAATTATCCCCTTCTTTTTAACTACATGCATAAAAATAGTCAAAGGAAATTAAAATTAGATGAACACTGCAGCATTCATGTTTGTAACATAAAAATATAGTAATATATGTTGTCACAGAATCACCATTGAAAACAAAAGTACAACTGTATGCAAACTTATTTATACATTGTCCCAACTCTATATTTCTGAAGTTAAAGAGAGGTGTTATTGTTTGACTTATACAGTTCTATTTCAATGACACAAGTTATTTACATAATGTTTATAATTGTTAAATTAATTTAATATCTGTCATCTTTACTTTGTTGGTCTGAAGTCAGTAATAAGAATGACTGGAAGCTTGCTATTATATTAGGTCATCAAGAAATTAATGTCGCTTTTTTTAGGTGAAAAAACTAGAACAACTTATATATCAAAACAAAACATTTATTAAATGAAATAATCTCCATTCTTATCAATGATGCTTTTCCATCTTACAACCAGGTTGTTAATGCCCTGATTAAAGAAATCACTTGGCTTTGAAGCAAAAAACATGTCGACGTCCTCTTTAACACCTTCCATATTTGCATTCATTTTCCCATTAAGATGGTATTGCAGTGAATGAAGAAGATGGTAATCTGATGGTGCCATATATGGAGAATATGGTGGGTGGAGGAGAACTTCCCAACCCAACTCCATAATCTTGTGCTGCATCAAACATGCCACATGTGGACATGAATTGTTGTGGAGAAGAACACCTTTCTGATTGATGATTGAAGGGCATTTCTGATAAAAGGCTTGATTTAAACATTCCAGTTGCTGACTATAGATCTTGACTGATTGACAGTTCGCTGTGGATTGAGGAGTTTGAAATTAATTACTCGTTTGATGTCCCACCAAATGCAAAGCATCACTTTCTGCAGATGGAGTCCAGTTTTTGGGGTCGGAAGTGGTTTTTGTCTAGGACTAAGCCATTTTTCTGGCATTTAATATTCACATAAAGAATATATTTTTCATCACCAGCAACAATTCTGTCCAAAAATGGTTTACACACATTATGTGCCAGAAGAGACAAAGCAACATTCACACGTAGGAAACAATGATCATTGGAGGGTTCACGAGGCACCAAAACACCTTCTTATGGAGTTTTTTCCATACTCCTTAGATGTTTTAATATTGTTTCATGAGAAACTCAACAAGCGTCTTCAGAGCATCAATATCAATTCCAACACGTCGGCCCCTGCTATTACAGTCTTTAAGGCTAAAATAACCTGAACAAAATTTGCTGAACCATCGTTGATACTTACAAACATTCAAAACATTTCCATAAACTTCTTTGATATTCTTTGTGGCTACAGAAGCATTGTTTCCTTTCTTGCATTGAAACAGCATTACATGCCGAATGTGTGTCTCGTCGTGTGCCATCACTATACGGGATTAGAGTATACTAAACTTTACACATTACATAGGCTACACTAATGTGATGTTTAGGCAATTCGTTTAAGTATTTTACGTGATGTACATTTTTTGAGAGGTGGTTAATGAAAGTGTTCCAAAACACAACATTAATTTCTTGACCACCTAATATATATACAGTTTAGATGTGATCTAATGTATTTTATTTGTCTTGTTAAGTATAATAAATATCATTCAAGATGCATTAAGAATTTGTTTGTTTAGTTTTTGAGGGTCATAAACACAGTTAAAACATATTTTTGCATAAACTCTAAAGTTCCTTGGAATTTATTGAAACTTCATCCAGAATTGTACTCAAATCAATCAATACTCAGACTACTGGAATACATGCACTTCTTAACTAATCAGTCAGAAGTACCAATCTTTGCTGACATCAAAACTCTACAATTTAACATCCACGTTACATGCTACATGTAACATGGCACCTGACAGTTACATGATGTTGGTAGATATGTGTGTATTTGTAAAATGGTGAAAATTAGCCCATTATAACTGATGACCAAAAGCTCATAAAAACTACAATATTTCAAGTTTCAAAACCATACAATTCGGTTTTATTAAACTGAAAGTAGAGATAAGATGAAACAGCATGTATACAAAGATGAATGTTATGATAAAGATAAGATTAAAAGTACACATCCATAGATTAATGTACTGATAAAGATAAGATTAAAAGTACTGATAAGAAGAAACAGTACATATCCATAGATTAATGTACTGATAAAGATAAGATTAAAAGTACATATCCATAGATTACTGTACTGATAAGAAGAAACAGTATGTATACAAAGATGAATGTTATGATAAAGATAAGATTAAAAGTACTGATAAGAAGAAACAGTACATATCCATAGATTAATGTACTGATAAGAAACAGTACATATCCATAGATTAATGTAATGATAAGACACAGTACATATCCATAGATTAATGTAATGATAAGAAACAGTACATAGCCATAGATTAATGTAACGATTAGAAACAGTACATATCCATAGATAAATGTACTGATAAGAAGAAACAGTACATATCCATAGATTAATGTAATGATAAGAAACAGTACATAGCCACAGATTAATGTAATGATTAGAAACAGTACATATCCATAGATAAATGTACTGATAACAAGAAACAGTATATATCCATAGATTAATGTAATGATAAGAAACAGTACATATCCATAGATAAATGTACTGATAAGAAGAAACAGTACATATCCATAGATTAATGTAATGATAAGAAGAAACAGTACATATCCATAGATTAATGTACTGATAAGAAGAAACAGTACATATCCATAGATTAATGTAATGATAAGAAACAGTACATATCCATAGATTAATGTAATGATAAGAAACAGTACATATCCATAGATTAATGTAATGATAAGAAACAGTACATATCCATAGATTAATGTAATGATAAGAAACAGTACATATTCATAGATTAATGTAATGATAAGAA